GATCCGGCCAGGGGTTTCTTCACCGGTGTTGGTTGTCAGAGTTGCCACCTGCTTGAATCTATGCCACGGAGGTGCACCTTGGGCTCATCACCCTGTGTGGAGTTGCGCGCAGGGAGTTGATGTTAGGCGAACCACATCGCTGAAGTCACAAACGCTCGTTCAGTGGGTGTGCTTTTGCATCCGGCGGCGCAGACAATCTCTTGTTGACCGGCTCGACTTGAGCAAGTTACAGCGACCATATTCTAATTGCGGCAGTACTTATTGAACTGGCTGACTTCACATGTGGACCACAAGACCCGAATCGATGCAATCACAGAGGGTGCACGGCACCGGGTGCCTGCGATCCAGGACGTGCCGGTGTTTATGCGCGATGCCCCGTCGGCCTTGCTTAATTTGGCCCTGTGCGCCGTCAGGCTGCAGGCAACCCGCGGGTTCGCTCGCAACAGCACCGAAGCCTCGAGACCCTGGAAGCTGTTCATGCTTATGCCATGCATTTTTCTGGCGCAGCACGAGCAGCGCCGCTTCAGCTCGTTGCCGAAGCACGTCACGGGCGTGCCGGCCGCGGGCCCCGCCAGCCCGCCGGCGAGGAGTACCCAACCCCAGAATATCCTCAGCAACGAGACGGCGCGAGCGGCGCTGGGATCCCAGCCGACGATCGGCGCCGCTTCGACTTCGTCCTGTATGGCGCCGCCAGGCGCGGCGAGGCACTGTGCTGCGATGTCGCGCTCGTGTCACCTCTGCGCGCTGACGGGAGTCCGCAGCCGGGAAGTCGCGATCGTGACGGCGGCCATCGAAGTCGCACGGCGCCGTAAACTACCCTGAGCTTGCCCGGCCCGGACTGCAGAGGCTCGTGGTGCTGTCATTTACGGTCGGCGGGTGATGGGGCTGCGAGGCCCACGATCTCCTCCGCCGCCTCGTTCGCGTGCGGTCTCTGCGCGCTGGGCGCAGCCGCTGCGGCAGGCTGGCGGCGCCGCTGGTGGGGAGTCCTGAGTTGCGCGCAGCAACGCACGCTTGCGTCCACGCTACTGGGCGGCATTTGGCGCGCACCAGCGCAGCCGGGCTGCGAGGGGCAGCCCACGCTCAGCGAAGTTGTCGAGTTTGCCGAGCCGGCGCTGCCTTCTCCGCTGAGAGCGAGAAGAACGGACTGGACACCTCCTCGGCAAACAGACAAGGCGTGCAAACAAAACTAGACACCGATTATCCCAAAAGCACTCCGACTGACACGTATAGTTGGTTGTGTTGTCAGTGCAGTGATCGTGGCGCTGTGGTGTGGTGTAGCAGACTAGAAGTAGACCGGTTGTGTAGTCTCAATGCGGTGTCGACGGCAGAGAGGATCCCTGCAGTGGGTTCAACAGACCACTCAAGAATACGCAAAAAGGCACAGTGGGAGCACTCCGACACGCACGATCCCCGCACGATCCCCGCAGAGGGTGCGCGGTTCAGTTCCAAATTGTGCGAAAACGCACAGCGGGAGCGCTCCGACACGCACGATCCCCGCAGGGGTTCAACAGACCACTCGAGAATACGCAAAAAAACACAGCAGGAGCGCTCCGATACGCACGATCCCGCAGAGGGTGCACGGTTCAGTTCCAAAATGTGCGAAAACGCACAGCGGTAGCGCTCCGACACGCACGATCCCTTCAAAGGGTGTGCGGTTCAGTTTCAAAAGGTGCGAAAACGCACAGCGAGGGCGCTCCGACACGCACGATCCCCGCAGAGGGGTGCATCGCGCTAGCCGCGGCGAAAACCCACCCCAGCCTCAGAAACAAGAGAGAACTTAATAGACAGCGTGCAGAAGCAATGCAGCCGAGATAGCACTGTGGTGATGGTAGTGTGGTGGTGGTAGCGTGGTGGGTCGTGTAGTGATGGTAGTGTGGTGGGATAGTGTAGTGATGGAAGTGTGGTGGTGCTAATGTGGTGGTGGCAGCGTCGTGATCAGTGTGGTGATAGTAATGTGGTGGTGGTAGGATGTGGTAGGTAAGCTGGTGTGCTTGGGCGAACGTTTTTTTCTTCGAAGAAGCCTGCGCTGAAGCTTTCGGGAAAAAGCCACCCGCGGCCAACTGCCTGCCAGGGATTGCGAGGGCATGCCGATTTTGCGACAGCTGAGCCACATGCGCTCCATTTGTCGAGGGCACGGTTATGTTTTGGCGGCAACCCAGTCCATCCTTTTGGAGGCCTACATGGGGCGGTGCCCGCAGCGGCCGCAGCGCCGTCACTTGCTGACGATCTCCGCGTGTGTGCTATGCTTTATAGGGCAATGTTTCGTTTTGAAGTTCGCTTTTAAATTTTCGAAGTGTGTGTGTGTGTGTGTGTGTGTGTGTGTGTGTGTGTGTGTGTGTGTGTGTGTTGGTGGGTGTGATGTTCATGTTCACGAGATGTAAACATGCTGTTTGTGATCATTTTGCTCGATCTCGCTGGACCAGCGAGCCCCAGTCGCCTGCCACTGCGTCTGTAGCGGTTGGCGACGGTTAGGTCGAACGAAACCCCCCCTGTGATTCAGGGACCGCGTGTTTCTGCCTTCCGCGTTCACAGGTTGGGCTCCAAGCCCTCACGGCCACCCCAAGTGACCCCCACACTACGCTTTTCCCCGGAGATGATGCAAGTCGCGCTGAGGCGACGCCTTCGCCTGCCACTTCCGCTGGCCGCGCGGCGTTGCTTTCGGGGAAACCATCCCGGCGTGTGGCCGCCTCGTCGGTGAGCACGGCTCGCACGGGCCTGCTGCCCCACCCCGAGTCGCACCCACTCCCTGCGGATTTGGCAAGCAGCCCTGGCCAGTTTCAACAATTTCTCGAACCCGGACCTTGTTACGCAACCATGCACGCTGTTGAGGGCCCCCGATTCTGCAGAGCCTTGCTCCTCCGTGCCATCGGCGTCGCTTTGCGGCTGATCCGCGATGCCCATGATGTGCACCCGCGCCTGGAAGCTGCCAGCGGCCGTCGGACTACCCACCAAGCGTCTGACTCCCCCGAGCGCCGCGCTGAACGTGCCATGCAGCTCGGTTCATTGGGGCGAGTTGTCGGACGCACGTCAAGCCATTGTTACGGCGAGCTCCTCGCCCCAGCCACATCAGCCACCCACGAGACCTGGCAGTAACTCAGCGACCCCAGCCCTACCGCCCACTCGGGCCCGACGTGCTCGAGAGTACCAGCCGGACACCCGCCCTGCGCCCCGTGCCCCGCGCTTGACGACGAGGAGGCTTCGCAGGCCGACATTGCTAACATGCTCGCCCGTGCACACGTGCCCAAGCCCATGTGCCCAAGCCCATCGCAGCTATTGCTGTTGGGCGCATTGTCGTTGTGTGCAAGATCATGCAGGACACGTGGTCTAGTCGTCGGCGATATTTGCTGGTGGCGCGGACGCACCCACAGCAGTTCGCCTCCCACTTCCAACGCGCCTGCTCGCCCCACCAGCATGCGTTCTCTACACGCGCGCTTTGGCTCTCGCATCGCGGCCGTTTACGCCCGTACCTGAAGAGCGGCCGGCGGACCTCCCTGAGAATACACCAAGCACGCCCGCTGCCAACGTTTTGTGACAGCTGAGCCACTTGCGCTCCCATCTATCGTGGGCAGGAAATCCCCCTTCTATGTGCCGCTATTGTTGGCATGCTCTCCCCTGCGTGTGGCATGCGCATGCTGTGATCGGCGCCTAATACCCCTCGCGGGTTTTTTTTTTCCTCCTACCCCTACAAGATGCTTGCCGCTGCTGTCGCGCATGTGGAACGCGCTGTCGCGTCGTCCGTGCAGTTGTCCTCCTGGCTCCACCGTTTTCGGGAAAGATATAAAAAGATGGGTTTGGGCCGCGACTGGTACGCGTCACGTCCCCCGCAATTGCGGGGGAGCATGAGGGTCATTATCGCAGGAGGTCCGACGCTGCTTTTCGGCCCACCTGCCGTCCGCGCCCGAACGGCTTATCAGCCCACCGGTGCTGCACCCACTCACTTGGACACGCGGGACAATGCGGACATTATGCGGACGTTGAGTCTACAGAGCGGCTTGAACGCGCATGCTTGCCGGGCGGCGCTCGGGTCCATGTCGGATGGGCTGTCCGACAACTTCGCGAGTCAGACGGTTATCTGCTTGCACCGGTTCAGAAGCTTTGCTCGAGTCCACAGAGCCACCCGCAGCTTCTCCACTATGCTCGCCCCCAGGGCTGTGGGCGCCAACGCCTCGCCCAAGAGTCTGGTGCATATGTCGCACTCGCCGAAGAGTCTGTAGTGGAGTCGGAACGCCGCGCACATGGCCGTGGCCGACGCAGTGACCGGGAGTGTGCCGCTTCCCTGTCCCTGCCGGCTGGATTCCAAGGCGACGCCCCCCAGCTTCAAGCCCAGCCCTCCGCCCCTACCACCCTGAACGTCGTGCAGTGTCCGCGGAAGCGGGCTTCGAGTTGATGTTGAAAGTTTGGATGACATTAACTTGGAGGACACCTTGCGCAGGCGTGTCTTGACGCTTCAAAGTGGCCCAAGTCCATCGCCTTGCTCGATGCCCGCCGTCGCGATTCCAGACTGTTTCAGACTCACTGTCCTGAAGTGCCCAACGCAAAATGTGTCCGGAGAGCCAATGAAATGCCCACAAAACCAAAAAACACCGATTCTGACCCCCCAGCATGCGTGTATTTCACATGGAAAAAGTATGGAAAAGTGACTCTGAAACCAAAGTTCCTGCCATGACCCAAATACTGACTGGACTCGGACCTGCCCACGAAGTGGCAAAAGTGTACTTGAATGATTCCTGAATAAACTGAATTGTGATTGCGTAGGCGATTGCACATGACGTTTTGACTTGTGCTGACTGCGATTTGTTTGTCTGCAGTCCCGGCCTTCTGGTTCATTTGTTACAAGCCAGGCACAAACAGGTAATGCAGGCGCATCAGGGGCAACATGCCCGTGTTTTTCACAACCGTACTCGTTGCAGATCGTTGCACTTGCTGAAATGTAGCTGCGAAAAGGTGACGCAGAGTTTGTTGTTGCTTCATGGGCCACAAGTTGCTCATTGTCCATGGCAATGGCGGTAACATCAGAACAACGCCTGCGGGCGTTGCTGCAGTTGGCGCGTCCCAACTGGCGTTGCAAGGACCTTGTCTACTCACGCAATCGTCAGTTGCGTCACGGTTGGCGTAAAGGGTTTGAAAGCTATGCCCCAATGCAAGTGAAGATGGCATGGGTGACCCAGGAAGTTCGAATGGTAACCCCCCAAACCCTAAACCCTAAACCTTAAACTTTAAACCCTAAACTGGTAAAACCCCCTTACCCCCCACCCCCCTCTTTAACCCCCTCAACACACACCCGAGAAGGAGCATGCTGCGGCTTGGGGGTCGGGGTGTGTGGACAACGGCAAGGTCTGTGGAACGATATTTTTAAAGTTGGGGCTTGCCCTAGCTTGCCCGAGCACTTTCGTCCTAAATGAGAAACAAAAGGCATTTTCCTAGTTTGGCGATCATTAGCATTCTCATGACCAGTACCATTATCATTATAATGGTGTGTAAAAAACATTATTATCATTGTCAATATTCCTGTACCTGTTGTTAGAATAAAAGTAAGCTCGTATGCGTTTTATGCAATTGTATAGTTCATGGTCTTGTTTGGCTCTTGCGTGCCTTTGCTACTGGGGTGGGTGGTGTGGGAGGTGTGCTGGGTGCGGGGGGGCGTGCGAGAAATTGCTTCTGGACGTGGACCCAAGCCGGAAAAGCGAACCTCCCCTTGAAGTTCATCAGCAAGAACTTGTAGTTCGTGTGCTTCGGAAAAGAATTCGGTGTTAGGTTCGGTCCGTTGATGTTCACCCAACCATGAACATTGTGACCGACTGTCCAGCATGTTGTGCTCCAGGATATCGAGGCAGTCGAAGCGAAGCTGGAGCGCATTGGCGATTGGCCCAGTGGATTTTAAACAAAAGGTGGATTCCGGTGCTTCTACATGTTCTACTTGGGGTGCTGGGAGCTGCCAGCGGCTGAGGCATAAGAAGCATTCCGGAGCTGATGGTGGCCTTGCAGAGCAAATCGTTGAATCAGCCGCTTGCCCAAAACGATTTCCCGCGGGCAATTTCTGAGCCAACACGACTCACTGCACCCAGGGCGCTGGAAGTCAGCGGCCAAAAGCGATTCGCGGCCGAAACCCTTGATGCGCTTTGCGCGGCTGCCGGCGTGGTGCCGAGGTGGGCTTGTAAGATCGCGCTTCCATTAAATCACAAGTAGGACTGGCCAAAAGCTCCATGGCCGACTTGCCCTTGACATGGTGTTAGCACGCGCCTGCACATGCCGACCCTTGAAGCACGGCAGGTCCGACTGCACGGATGTGAAATGCAAGGCCAATGAGCCTCGCAAGCGGCGCCGGGGCCGCAAAAGTTCAGAACAGGCTCGGGCACAAGTGTCATGGACAACGAAGCCATCATACGCCATGTGGTTCCACTCGTCATGTGAGCTAGCTTGCCCACAGGCACTGGCGGGCCCATTTCCCCACGAACCGCCAGAACAAGGACACGAGGGCAAGAGATCTGTGCAAAATCCCGCTGACTGCAGCAATTCGCGGATGTTTGACAGCACAGTTGCCAGCCATAGTGAGCGCAGGTTGTGACCGACGATCAAGGTCCGGGGCCCGGCCGGCCTACTGTGTTGTGGGTCTCGGGGAGGGTCGTACTGGCACTGAGAACTGCATGCGCTTCTTTGATTGACCGGTCCAAACCATTTGAGGGCCCAATGTGGGGACATCCTTCCGGTCGTTGCACAAGCACTATGACCCCTATTCAGGACTGTTATATAAAGCCGAACATCCCAATGTCCATTTCCTGTGACTTCTTGTGCACAAGCAAGCATATACCACTCAGACATGTGGCATATGGGACTCAGGTCCGAGGAGTGTGTCGAAGAGGGCCCGATTGGTCTCCGAGGCGTGTATCAGGGTTTGGGGCTCCGGGTTCTCGGCTTAGGATTTCGGGCTTAGGGTGGTTTTGTGGCCTCAAAACCATCCACGTGCAGAGGCAAAGTTCAGCAGAAGATTGTCGCGGGCTGGCAAGAGCCGGGGGCTGAGCTGCGTGGTGTGCGCGGACGTGTTGCAGCGACTTCGAGCCATGCAGTACTCACTACAAGGACCCAAGGATGTTGCAGCCCAAGTCTAGCATGTTGTTTTTTTGCACATTTCCCTGCCATGTGTTCCTGAAACTTGGGCAACCCTAACTACAAGTATCTCTGAAAATGCCTGTGGTGAAATCAAGGGGATGATCAGGTGCCTATAAAATGCGTGCCCCTATCATATAAGAGGTTGCGGTTGGGTTGGTGAGTGGCTGGCGAGTGGCATGTGAGGCACATGTGAGGGGATGTCTCGGGGAAGAGCAAATGAGAAGCTTGTAAGGTCAAAAAGGGCTGAGGCTTGGCTATCCTGTGTAAGCATGTTTTTGCGTCGACCCTGTCTTTGAGTAAGCTCTCGTGAGAATTCAACCCGATCCAGGGTTTGTCAGGGCCCCGTTTTTTTGTCAGTCGAACGGGCGCAGCATTCGTCAAGCAAGCTCTCGTCGCTCGAACTCCAAGACCAGGTCCGCAGAAGGCTCGAAGCAGCCAGAGGCCCGTAAGTGGCTCGCGAATGGCTCTATATAGGCTTGTAAGTGGCGCGAAGGCCCATGAGGGGCCCGTAAGTTCGCAAGTGGCCTGAGCGGCATGTAACAGCATGTAAGTGGCATGTAAGCGGCACGTAAGTGGCCGTAAGTGGCGCGTAAGTGGTAAGTGGCACGTAAGTGGCACGTAAGCAGCCCGCAAGTTGCCAAGGGTCCCCGTAGAAGACCCGTGTTGAAGCCCGCACAAACCTGTGCAGGAGACCCATGCAGCATCTGCCAAAAAACACCAGAACTTAGAAGTCAGGCAGCCTGCTCTTACGAAGCCTCTCCCTGAAAAACACCAAAGGTTACGTACTCTCCTTACCCACACGACCTGATCTTACATAGCCTCTCCCTGAAAAACACCTAAACTTACATACTCTCCTTACCCAAGGGACCCGATCTTATATGATAGGGGCACGCTTTGTATAGGCTCCAGATCTTTGCTTGGATGAAAAGCAGCCGAGGCACCTCAAGATCGCGACAGAGCTCAGCTTGCGAGAGGAGTTCCGAGGTTGCAGGGAGTTTAGGGTTTCGGGTTATCGGGTTTAGAGTTTAGGTTTAGGGTTTAGGGTTTCGGCTTTCTGGTTATTTCAGGGTTTAGGGCCCCAGTTGCAGGGGGGGGAGAGGGGCCGTGTCTCTTTTGAAGAAGATCAACGGGCCCGCGGGCCCCGGGTTGCAATGCCGTTACTTTCGATAACATTTTCCCGATCAGACTCTATCGCTCTACGCTACACTGCCTTCCGAAACACTTTGCCGGTTGAATCTCGCGCCCCATCTAGACCTAAACCACTCTCAAACTGTCCCAGAGCCGGTTTGGAAGGTACGAGATCAAGAACTTCTCAAGCCCTCTCCCGAACACCCCAACTTAGAAAGCACTTCGGGGGTTTAGGGGTTAGTGTTTAGGGTTGAGAAGTTTTGAGATTTGGTGTTTAGGGTTATGGCAGATCGAGGCGCGTAGGGGAGTCCTCTGACAAGAAAGTTTAAAGTTCAGGGTTTAAAATACAATAGGGGTTTAACAGTTTAATCTTTAGGCTGAAGTCTTTTGTCAGGTACCAGGGTCCGGGTCACACTGTGTGACTACTATGGCGTCGGAGGTTTTAGCCTGTGTATCTCTTGGTGCATGGACTCAGACACATCTCCGCAGCATGCACGGATCATGCAAACAAACTTATAATGGAGCTTATGTAGACCCCAAGATCGTAGTTCTAGGTAGGCTTCAGGCAGCATAACATCTACAGGACCAAGAAACACTGAGCCCTACATCCTAGATTTCAGACTCCAAACCTAGGCCCTATAGATTTCAGCCTACATCTGCAACATGTTTCGCTGCACCTTGTATTCCCTAAAGCCCGCTCCCCCCGAGGCTATCTCGTCGTTGCCGCCAGATGGGCGTGGCACCTCCGCCCGGTGCCACCGGGGCAGAGCTGGCGCTCTTTCTGCAGGCGCTGTCTGGCGTTTAGGCTTCGGGAACCTATTGGGGTTTAGGTTTCCCCCAATTTCGCATGATCTCGCGATCATGGAGCAGCCAACTCACACGGAAGGATCGTCTTACGCGGCCTAGCATGACAGGGCATGCCAGCGTAGCAACCACCAACAACGGCCTCAGCCCTGCCTCGAAGTTGCTTTTGTCCAGCCCGAAGGCTGTGGTGTCATGGCACAGCATGACTCGGTCGGACCTCATCAAGACTGCTCGTCGTTGTGGTCTCGAGCCGCTCTACAACGACACTGAGGCGTGTGGTGCTTGTCACGCAGAGGGGGAGATATGATCAAGCGAGCACTTCTTCCCATGGGCTCGATGATTGCCTCAGGCCGTAGACTATCTGAGTTCGTGCAGAGGTCTAAAACTCCTAAACCCCTAAAACCCCTAAACCCAAAACCTCTAAACCCCCAAACCCCTAGACCCTCAACCCAAAACCCGAATGAAGCCCCAAACCCGGGGTTTGAGAGCCGAACCCCGAAGACTGAGAACAGGAGACCCTTCTTCAACGCCTCCTCGAGCCTCAGCCATCAAAACGTGGGGCCCATTCTTTGGGAATCTGGCTCGGGGCTCTTGAGGGATGAGGTCTTCTTCATGGCTTTATGGCCTTTAGGGTTTATGGTTTAGGGAGCTTGAAAGCCGATAAATACAGCACTCAAAGACCCCCTTCTTTTCAGCATAGCTTGGTCTCGGAACTCTCATGTAGAGGCCAGGTCAACAGGCCCCCGGCATTTCTACGCAGGTGTGCTTTGATGATTGTTACAACTACAGTTACCAAACCCTTGACCCTACCTGAACCGCCGAAAAAACCCCAAATCCTAAATCCTGTGGTCGAAAGAGACTTCGTCAGTATCACAACAAACCCGTGGCCGTGGACCACCAACCGATGCCTTGCCGGCCTTGTGAGAGTCGAAATCCCAATCCCCTAGAACCCTGAAACCCTAAACCCTATCCCAAAACCCTTAAAACCATAACCCCCTTCTAGTACTTTGGGGGGTCGGAATGGTTACTCATTGTGTTTCTATGTAAGTATACTCTATTAACCCCACAACAACCTTATTTTGGTACTCAGGCCCCTTCACCCTAAACCCTGAGCTCCCTCAACCCTTCTTAAACCCTGAACCCCAAACTCCTAAACGCCTAAACCCCCAAACCCTACACCCCAAATCCCTTCAAGTAGGGACTTCTCAGGAGAAGACGTGGGAGGCTTGGCACATCCCTGTAAAGAGCTTCACCCACCTGGAGGCTTCTTGGGTGATGGGGCGGGACTACGGCCTTTGGCCTCAACCGTAAACCCCAAACCGTAAACCCCAAAACCCAAAACCCAAAACCCAAAACCCAAAACCCAAAACCCAAAACCCAAAACCCAAAACCTTAAACCCTAAACCCTAAACCCTAAACCCTAAACCCTAAACCCCAAACCCTAAACCCTAAACCCTAAACCCTAAACCCTAAACCCTAAACCCTAGACCTCAGCCGGGGAATTGGAGATGCTGAAGCTCCGGCAGGTGGCTTTCGAAGTGCTGGAGTACTTTGAGAAGCTGGAGGCTGGCTGTTGTTTCCTCGGTAGGATGGGTTTAGGGTTTAGGGTTTAGGGTTTAGGGTTTAGGGTTTAGGGTTTAGGGTTTAGGGTTTAGGGTTTAGGGTTGAGGGTTTAGCGTTTAGGGTTTAGGGTTTAGTTGGTTTAGGGTTTAGGCGGGTTAGGGTTTAGGGTTTAGGGTTTAGGGTTTAGGGTTTAGGGTTTAGGGTTTAGGGTTTAGGGTTTAGGGTTTAGGGTTTAGGGTTTCGGGACTAGGGGGGCCCTTAAAAGGGAGCCCTTCTCAACCCTCTTCTGGCTCTCCTAAACAGTGGCCTCTTTGAAAGGGTCTATACCCCTCATCCTATCCCCTATGTATTGCGGATGGTATACACTTGCCAGCGCCGTGCGTGTCTTTTTTTTATAGCTTGCCAGAAACGACCCATCACGTGCAAACAGATCAACATGTAGGCTAAACAATGCGATAAGCAGATAAACGAACATCAATAACTATGCCAGTTCTGTAAAGATCTGGAGCGAGTATGAGCACGAACTAATTCTAGCTGTATGCATGCGCCTTCGATCACCAAACCCTGAACCTAGATGCCGTGACATCCGAATGCCCCTCCAAAGCATCCAACGGAATGAGAATGCCGTATAGGGCTTCGCGCGCGCGCCGACAGGAGCTCAGTTGGGATGAGATCAGCACCCTCGCCCGGCAGGGCGGCTTGCCAATCGAGCCTTGCCACTCCAAAAAGGGTTTAGGGTTTAGGGTTTAGGGTGCTCCCAGTGTGAGTGCTTCAACTGCTCAGCTTTTCAGGCCTGCAAACATCAGGGTTCATTGGGGTCCAGGCACGTCAGAGAATCCTGGTTCCATGTGTGCCTAAAGCTTCTAGGGGCCAGTGCCGCCATGCGTTTTTTTAACTGGAGATTGTAGGGTGCGCAAATCCGCGGAGGTGTCGGCTTCTTTTCAGGAAGTATCTGCCTGCTTCTTACAGAGGAATTTATACGCCTCATATCTCCACAACAAGTAATATCGGCACACTGCTAACCTGTACTGAACCCGGCGGAGTAGATTGAGTTGGAGGCATGTGGGGTGTGTGAGAGAGAATTATCATCATCCTTTGCGAGTGCTCACCAAGTTTGGGGATTAAGGGTGTTTGGCCCTGTGCGGCTGCGAGTTTAATTAGGGGGTGAAGGGAGTTAGTTGAGGTCCCAGTTGCAAGAAGTTTGGAGTCGTCTCAGGGTTTAGGACTAGGATTTGCGGGGCTGAAGCCCGAAACCTAAACCCTAAACCCTAAACCCTAAACCCTAAACCCTAAACCCTAAACCCTAAACCCTAAACCCTAAATCCTGAACCCTAAACCCTAAACCCTAAATCCTCCTCCCTAAACCCTAAACCCTAAGTGGATGATCTGAGGAGCCAGGCGTGCGGCGGGAGACGCTGCTGCATCGCTTGAAGCTCTTGGCAGTGTGGGTGGCTTGTATGCAGAGGGTTTAGGGTTTAGGGTTTAGGGTTTAGGGTTAAGGGTTTAGGGTTTAGGGTTTAGGGAGCTTGTATGCAGAGGGTTCAGGGTTTAGGGTTTAGGGTTTAGGGTTAAGGGTTTAGGGTTTAGGGAGTTACTTTCTAGTTCTTATTCGGGAATTCGGCATCTTACATCAGCCTATATGACCCTTCAAGGCCTCATGAATATAACCTAAATCCTCAAGTTCCTTGCACGAGCCGGTAAGGTTAGATGTTTCTACCCTAGAGAAGGATATCCCTCGACCTTGGGGGACCCTGGAGTCTAAACCCTAAACCCTAAACCCTAAACCCTAAACCCTAAACCCTAAACCCTAAACCCTAAACCCTAAACCCTAAACCCTAAACCCTAAACCCTAAACCCTAAACCCTAAACCCTAAACGCTAAACGCTAAACCCTAAACCCTAAACCCTAAACCCTAAACCCTAAACCCTAAACCCTAAACCCTAAACCCTAAACCCTAAACCCTAAACCCTAACCCTAAACCCTAAACCCTAAACCCTAAACCCTAAACCCTAAACCCTAAACCCTAAACCCTAAACCCTAAAGATCTCAGGGGCTTCAAACTCCCGCGGTTGCTACACAGGAACAGCTGCCGACCCCTGAGCTGGAGGCAGAGTGTTGGAGGCGCCGTGGAGGTTCATGATTAGGGTTTAAGAGAGGGGTTTAGGGTTCGGGGTTCAGGGTTTAGGGTTTAGGGTTAGTCAGACGAAGCTTTGAAGTGGTCTTGGCAGGGGTAGAAGTGGTCGTCAACATATTCATTTGTAGAAGTTGCGATTTGCTGATGGCGGTTTGAAGACTGACGCCTCCTACCTGCAGTCTTTTCCATCACACGTAGCTACCAGACCACTACCACAACTCAAACCTGAAGCGTTAGATGAGTAGGAAGAGACACCTGTAACAGATCGAAAGCAGCCCCTTGAACAAGACGGGTTGCTGTTCCGGAACGTAAATTTTACAGTACCGAAGTCGGGAGGAAAAACACATACTATGGTTTCCTAGACTTTGGTAACGCTGTTAAAGCTCTTGAAAAAGCAACCCAGAAGAGGCGGCTGCAGTTCTTCGACTCCTGCTACTCTGACTTTCATTCAGGCCACTGGGTGCAATTGTGTTTCCGGAGCACAGATCCGGCTTGATTTGCTTGCCGCGCTAACCCTAAACCCTAAACCCTAAACCTTAAATGTTAGAGACCTGGATACTGCAAAGGTGGTTGGTGAATGGTGTATTGGCTGATATCTGCATCTTAAGGTCTTTGCAATTCAGGTATGAGTGAGACCAGTCAGTAGTAATGGAGCTTGTCTAGGGAGTTAGCTGACCTGACTGGATCTACAGAGACCTTGCCTGCCGTGTGCGAGAGTGACCGACGAAACCCTAAATTCTACATCCTAAACCCTAAACCCTTGCTGCCAAGCGCTGTGCACGTGCACTAAGCCCTAAGTAAGCCCCCCAAGACCGACTCTGTCGAGGCGAAATTTACCAAAGTGCAGTGCTAGCGCAGCTGCTTGATTCTGCCTGCCCAGTGTCCAAGTCAGCAGGATGTGTTCAAGTCAGCAGAATGTGTGCAAGTCAGCACAACTTGCCCAAGCGCTGCTTGCAATGTGCGTCCCCTGGGGTTGTTCTCAGTAGCTAGACCTGGAATCAAGAGCGATTTTCCGTTCCGGGCGCACGTCATGTCCATGTCATCCCCCCCCGGCCACATGTCTTGAAATAGGTGCATTGGAGACAATGGTTGGACTTCGCACTTGCCGAAATACGACACCAAAATTGGAAAATTGCCCGGGCAAAGAGAAGAGCCCTAAACCCTGAGCCCTCCACCCGAAAAACACCCCTAAACCCTAAACCCTAAACGCTATGCCCGAAACCCTAAACCCTAAACCCTGAGCAGTTCAAGTCTCGAAAGGACACTCGGGCATGTTCTCTTTCGTGGACCTCATGGCATCGGATCGCCAGTATCGGCAGGAGCTACTTGGGCAGCTGGTCAAGGAGCACCACTTTGTGAGCTGCCTTGTCTTGGTAGCGCAGTGGTACCTTGTACCCGTTTTTTGGGTTCTGGGTCCCAACTTGTTGATGTTTTGCAGAGTATGGGGCACTTCTTGACTGGCGCTGACTTCACAATCTCTTGAGTCGTTTAGGGTAACTCGGGGCTTCTCATCTGCACGAACTCCACACTTTCAAATCTGAAGTCTTCTGAACCGACCCAGAAAGTCTGCAACAAGAGCCTTCAGTGCATTCGACAGGAGATGCACCACGAAGCTCTCGCTTTGATGATCCAGAAGCAGTGCGAGGCGCCTGTCTGAGAAGACATACCTGAGCCGTCAACCTGAGCAAAGGACGAAAGCTTTACAGGCCCAATAAAGCCAGGACCTTATCCCTAAACCCTATAAGCCTAAACCCTAAACCCTAACCTGAACCCATGCTGGAGCGGCTGCAGCTGCACGTTTCGGTGCTGCAAGTCTGCTGCGGAAGAGACCCCGGCCGCCAAGTGAGGGCACCTTGCTACAACCCTGCATCCAAATTTGCAAGTGCAAAAAAACTGCCCAGAGCAGGCCCGAAGCTCAAGGAACTGCATGCGCAGGGTTTTTGGTCGAGCGGATGCCCGAAGCATCTGGGTGTATTTTGAATACCGGTTATCCATCATGCGTGCAACGTTTGCAGGGTTTCCAAAACCTCTCGAACACTTTTCAACCCACAGTGTCCCTTACAAGCCCACCATGTTACACGTAAAGCCCCCTCCCAGTGCCACAACGTCCGGACCCCTTAAACCCAGAACAAAAACGCTGATAGGGACTGGAGGGCTCGGGTAGACAGTTTGTATCAGTACCTACAATGCCTGCCATGGGCCTGTGTGAGCGTCGCAAACCGAAACGAGACCCCCCTGAACCAGCTTGCTGTTGCGTTGCTCCCGGGCCTTGCGTAGTCGGCCGGGAAGGACCGAGAAACCAGCGCAAGCGCAATCACATCTCGCGATCCAGAGCTTCAAATCACCTTCCCTACAGAGATAACCTGTCCATGAACCCTGCGGTCGCGTTTGAAGGGAGAAAGAAAGTAATCTCAACAAGGATAGAGTGCCTCTTGGATGGTTTGTTCCTTGGCAATTAACGGATATGGACGGTTGTCTGTTAATTGAGGGGGCACGTTCTTTCTACACTTTTTTCTTCTTCGACCTGGACCCCAAACCCTGAAACCCCAAAACTTCCGGCCAACAGAAACACCCAAAACCAGGTCAAACCCTAAACCCTAAACCCCTAAACCCCTAAACCCCTAAACCCCTAAACCCCTAAACCCCTAAACCCCTAAACCCCTAAACCCCTAAACCCCTAAACCCCTAATAAACCCCTAAACCCCTAAACCCCACAGCCGAAAGCCCCAAACCCTAACCCTCAACCCCTTGGTTTCTTGGTAAACAATGGGGGAAGGAGGTACCTAGGTACCCTTTGTAATCCTTTAGAATCTCTTCAAGGGTATATATATATATATGTATATTATCTATATATATATATATATATTATATGTATGTATGTATATATATATATATACGTAGGGGGATACAGGGTGCCTCATTCAACTCGGGCCCTCGGCAGGCCGACGAAAGCGGGGCGGACGACGAGTTCGGTGTCAACGGGCAGGAGCACCCCAAGGGCCAGAAAGGGGAATAGGGTTTAGGGTTTAGGGTTTAGGGTTTAGGGAAGTCGGAACCTTCGCCACGTCGGGGTCGTCCCCAAATCTAAGGGACGTTGCATGGCCCCTTCATTCACATGGTCCCCTTACCTTCTTTAGAGTTTTAAAGGGTTCTGAAGTATAGGCCCTTGGGTGTTTTTTAGGGTATACAAGGGGTATATAAGGGTTCCCAAATTCAGGGACCATATTAAGGCGCCATATTGCTCAAGAGTGGGTTTAGAAGAGAAGATGCCCACCGCAAGACAATTTGCCCTGGTTTGAACTGGCCCAGAGGACGTTCCATTTTACTACTGTACCAGTATTCCACAAACTCTTAGACACTTGGGGGCTTTCTTGTTGTCATGAACACGGGTCTAACTCCTGGGATTTCAGGCGTGCCAGATGGGCCAGGGTTACCCGACCTTACCACTCAGAAGCATCCCAAGGACGTGGGTCCCGCATCATTGTGTGTGCAAGCACAAGGGGTTAGGGTCTAGGGTTTAGGGTTTAGGGTTTCGGGTTTAGGGTTTAGGGTTCTCGTTGCATGGGATCTTCAGGAAGGCCCACTACAGTCCCAACATCAGAATCAGCCATGGCAACGACTCGAATTGGAGAATCTTTTGCAGCAAAGCACATGACTGTCTCAGAGTCAAAAGAGGTTTGTACATATCTCTGGTGTCTGATGCTTGTAGAGCTATGCTCATACGAACTGCAAAGTCGTTGTGACATGCGACGATGTGGTGCTTCACACACACATGGTGGCTCAAGGGGCTTGTTCCGCAGCCCTTCCCTGAGCAAACAAACGGCCCACGAGGAAGCGGTCGTTGAGATGTACCTTGGCGGGGCGAGGGTCTTCTTCACTCCTCCTCTGCAGCTTCGATAGGTGCTGCAGCCCCAATATCTACATCCCATCGCCTTCGCCTCACTGAAGTTCCTCACCAGCATTTTTCCACATACTAATCCATCTGGAAACTCGTCCCTTTGTACAGATATCGCCCCATCTCAGACGAACCTTGAAAGCCAAGTTCCTTTCTCGCCAGATGTAGAGGACATACTTCAGCTGTCTCGTGGTGGGCAATTCCCTCGCTGGGAACACTCCCTCCTCGATGTGGGTCGCCAACCTCGCCGCCAAAACTTCCTTCGTGCCAGTAAGCGAAAAAGTTTTTTTCACGAAGTCCAGTCTTGATCTCCTCCACCACCATGAGCATGATAACGTCAACGCACACCCTTGTGCGATCTGAAGGAAACTCACCTTCATTCCAGTCGCCATAGCTCGTAGTGCTGGTAGCTGGAGATCTCTGTAGATGGCTCGGTTGTTGCGAATCACGTGTAGGTCTCGGTGTTGTGGACATTCCAGTCGGATTCATCGGTGCTGGCGCTTGGATCCGGAGCTTGTCATTGAGAGTCGACAGAGTGGTAGGTTGGGTCGAAGAAGTAGCTGGTCGGGTCGAAGAAGTAGCTGGTTGGGTCGAAGAAGTAGCTGGTTGGGTCGAAGAAGTAGCTGGTCGGGTCGAAGAAGTAGTTGGCCGGGTCGAAGGGGTCGCATCATCGCTCTCCTCCTTGGCTCGCCTTCGAATCTCTGCCTCAATCGCCCTTCTTGTCGCTACCTCCAACCTTTGAAGCTTTCTCAACTTCCTCGTTCCTGACCCTGGAGTCCAATCCCATACTTCAGTGGTCACCCACTTCATCGCCTCCCATATTGCCACAACCCCTGCGACCGCCAGAAACAGAAGTAGCCACCCCACCAAGTCCCAATCAACAGAAAGTCGACTCTGAACTCCAAGGGCCTCCTCTTCCGCCTTAGCTCCCACTATCAGTAGGCAGCACACGAGGGCCAGCAGAACCTTTGCCGCTCCACCAGAACTCGATGACGTTTCTGTTCTGCTTGTCGATGAGCCGTCGGTCACTCCCCAAAGACTGAGGAGGTCATTGATCCTCTGGGCAGCAAGGGCCTTTGTTAATAGGTCTGCTAGCTGAATTCTTCCAGCACAGTGCTTCACCATGATGATGCCAGCATCCAGCTGCTCTTGCAGCCACCCAGCCTTTATGCGGAGGTGCCGAGTACGCCATCCACCACTACCAGACGAAATTGCCAAAGCAGAGGTGCTGTCGGTGTAGATGGTACGTGCTGAGACCTCCACCCCAATATCCTGTAGCAAAGCTTCCACTCCCAGGGTTGCCACCGCTCCGTCCAACATGGAGATAAGTTCACTCTCCGCCGTGGAGAGCGATATCACACTTTGCCTTCCCGATCTCCATACGATTGCTGAGCCAGCCCAAAACACCGCCCATCCCGAGTGCGACCTTCCAGATTCCGGAGCATAGGCCGCATCACAGAATAGCGCTAAGCCAGACCTGTCGTAGCCGATGGTCAATTGTCGGGCTTGCGTTCGCTGCAAGTACCCCAGGGCCTTCATACCAATTGTGATCACTCGGCTTGGAGCCTTCGTGGTCAATGCCGACATGAGTGAGGTCACAAATGACAGCTCCGGGCGGCTCCGCTGAGAAACCCAAAGCAGCTCTCCTGTGAGTTGTTGGGCCAAGTGGACATCAAAGTCATTGGGTGGGATGTCGTTGTCCAAGACGGAGAAAGATGCTGAGTCCTTGCTCAACGGAACACGATCCAACTGGGTGGCGGCAACCTTCCTCGTCCTTAGGAGCTCGCGGATGTAGGCTTCTTGGGTGATTCCAAAGGACATTGGTTCTTCTCCTCCTCCCCGAAGACATATCTCCATTCCCAAGAACCGAACGGGTTGTTGTGGCGATATCGTCTGCAATTCCGTGGTTTCCCATAGTCTTTGGATCCCCTGGGCCAACTTCATGATGGTTTCCCGACTACCACAGATCATGAAATCGTCCACATAGATCACGATAACTGCCATGATCTCCTAGTTAGAGCCCAAGACGGTCCACCACGCAGCCACCGCCTTTCCCTTTCTGAGCTGCAGGATCTTATCATTGATCGTCAGGGTGAGGGACTCCAGCTCATGGTCTCTATAGCTTCCCCACAAGCGAGGTGACTCCTTGAGTCCATATAGCGCCTTAATTAGGCCCCAAAGCTCGAACTCCTCGATGATCCTCAAGCGTTCCAACAGCTTGGGCGGCTGGACTACCACGACGGGATCCCTTGTGGATCTTCCCATGGATCTCTTCAAGAAGGCTGTGACGACATCGAGTATTCCCACCGACCACTGGTTCTTGCAAGTGAGGGTCAGAGCCGCTCGGACTGCTTCAGCCGGAGCTGATTCAGTGAAGAGGTCGGGATTGCTATTGACTGCCATATTGCCACAAACCACCAGCCGAGCCTTTCGCTTGAACCAGGTCGACGGGTCATTGAGGTCGGCCTTGTCATTCGGCTTCACCGTGTAGACGAACTTGGTGGGAAGTCGTTGGACCCCCTTCCTTTGCAGCCAACCAGCACGTGCCGCTGTCCCCCTCCTCAATCTCTCGATGGCATGCTCCACGCTTTTAACTTCCTTTTGAATTGCTGGCAGCCATTTTTCCAGAGAACGGAGAACTTCTTGGGGATCAACATTATGTACCACGTCCAACGGTGCCTTCAACGAAGCCAGCAATTCCTCGATGTCGGGTGTGTAGCCGACCTCCGCCTTGCAGATTGTTGGGCCGGTTGATCCAAACAGATCGCCTCCACCTCCTCCTAAGCTCGCTTCACCACCTTCAACCTCCAGAAACATCTCCCAATCACTTGCGTTCACCATTGGTTCCACCTGCTCATCATCCTTCTCGGTTGTGACTTCAGTGGGGTGATTGAGGTCAATCTTCGCAATCTCGGGAGTCGGGATGTAGTACTCTGGTAGTTGTGATAGAGGAGGTTGAAAACCTAGGCTCTCCAGCGTCTTAATCATCGGGTAGTCCATATGTCCATGGCAGTGGGGGGTATATCCAATGATCACAACTCGATCACCAGTCCATTCCATAACCTCATGGGACCTCCTCGGGGAGAAAGAGATGCACTTCCCCTTTACGAGCGGGTGCAAATTTCCAAACACCAGTTCTCCCTTGGCATTCGGTCGTTGACTCAGTTCTCCCTGAACCACGTCTCCAGGTTGTAGTTGAACCCATACTCCTCCTCCTTTTGACGGACACACGACTGGCACCAGGAAGTTCTTCGTGGTCGCATCGTTATTAACATCCTGATGAAACTCCTTCAAAGTGTTGGTGGACACCAGTACAGCTGTGAAGGTTGCCTCAGGCATGGAGCGCTGTAGGATTCTGGTGAGCACTTGCACTAGATGAGGATATTGTGATGTAGTATTCATCACCCCAACCACACCTCCATGTCGATATGCTCCAGCCTTGAAGTTGGGTAACGGTCCGTCCCTGAACCACCTTTCCACAAACTTCATGTCTTCATCCTCCTCATTGATCTCCAACACCTGCTGAGCCTCCTCCTCGATCGCTCCCGGCTTCACCCTCTCCAGTACTGCAACTCTAGGAACCACATCGGCGAGTTTGGTTTTTTCGGACAAACGAGTAGCCGATTTCACGACCTCATCTGCCTCCAATGTTGCAGTTGGCCCGCCGGGATCCACCAGGTTGGGCCTCACATGGAAAGTGTGGAAGAAACCTTCAGCCTTGTTCTCATCTGCCGGAAGATAGACCAAGTGGCCTCGATCCAGTAATCCACTCAAACCAGCATATCTCCCCTTCATCCACCGAGGATCGAACGTATCTCCACTCCTCCTCGGACCAAGCGCGGTGTACGGTCTCTTTTTCACATGTACGGTTGTGCCGAAAGGAGCCAGGAGTGAAGATTTCCGACCCAGCACCGCAGGTCGCTGTTCGGCAGCTGCCGTTTCAGCCGCTGCTGGCCAAAGACGAACAGGTAGTTCACTAGCCACCAACATAGTTCGGATCCTGTTCTTAATCCACTTCACGGTGGCTTCGGCATGACCATTGGTTTGCGGAATTCCGGGTTCCGCCCAGGTTCCTCGAATTCCCTGCTCTCTCAACCAGGACTTGAAGGCTGCTGAATAGTATTCACCGCGGTCGGAGTGGAATCGAAGGACTGGTAGGCCATGGGCACCCAGGTACAGGATGACGTCCTGCAAAGCGCCCTTGATCGTAGCAGTCTTATTGTTGGGTATCCCGATCATCACGGCAATCTCTCTCATTGCTGCATGCCCTTTAGGACCTCCACCTTCAGAATCATGAGTTGCCAATTCCTCCTCCCGCTCATTGCTCGCTTCCCCATCCTTGTTGTCTAAGGGTTCAATCAGATCCACCAACTGCTCTCCACCTTCTTCATTGTGATCCTCATCATCGATGGAAGGTTCGTAGTCGGCCTCATCATCCGCGAGCAGCTGGTCGTCTTCTTCCTCAAGTTGAAGTCCTGCTTCTCCAGGTTCAGGTTGGGATTGCTCGACCATACCCTCCTCAGACGGTGGTTCCCTTTTGGTGTAGGCACGCACGAACTCCTTGGGAAAGAGGTACTTGGCAACCAGCAGGTAGCGGATGTTGCAAGCCGGCGTTCCCTTAACAGCTGCATCTAGTCCTGGCTTCAGCGGCCCCGAGAGGTCTGAAGTAAGGACATAGCTGTCCGGATGATGGACTCGAGCGTGGCGCCTTCCAGTCCCTCTTGCCATGACGCATGTCGAGCAGTCCCTATGGTACGGGAGATGAGATGCATCTACATGGGCCTTCCATCTTTCGGGACTCATGGCATACACCCTTGGACTCCGTGACCACATATGGAAAGCAATGGTCAATGCCCTCACTAGCCCAGGTGACCATCGGCTTCGATCTGCACCTTCTGGGTGGTCCTTCAGGTTGTCGTCCGACTTGATGCCCTCCAAGCCTCTTAAGTAGGGGACGTTGGTTCCCAACACCGTGCTCATTCTCGACGATGCTCCGGTTCCCCCTTGCTCAAACGCGACCTCAAACATGCCGGTCTTGCCCTTAAACTCCTTCCACATGTTGGTTTCCCATAGGAATGAGCGCTGGTCCCTTGGTTGTGGTGGCGATGAAGTAGTAGGCCCGGGGTGCTCAATCACGAAGCCAACTTCCTTATGACGGAGTGCCCCCTTAGCCATAGTCATCCTTCCGGTTGCCGCCACCACATACAGCCAGAGCATTCTCGAGATCAAAGACAAAGGCTTGAGGGTCGTAGCGTCCGGCTCCTTGGGACAAAACGCAAGCCCATCACGACCCGGTGGTCCTCCACAAATCATGTCGATCTTGCCCATACGGGCCCCCCACAGAAGCATCTCCCATGTTGGCGAATCACCCAGGAGGTTATGTCCTCGACTTTGTCTGATGTCCACCTCCAAGACCACCGTGTCGCCATCATGGAACTTGTAGAACTCCATGTGTCCCTCCTCCCCAGCGAAGAGATGCACTATCCACTTCTTATCGGTGAGCAAGGTTCGTCGCTGGGCCCTTGTCAGGTAAGTCACCTTCTTCATGGTCTCCCATCCTCCCTTTGGTTCTCCAGGAGGTATCAGCCCATTTATGCATTCCCCCGGAACTTCCCTCAGAAATGGCACATCCCGTAGAGCTCGAAGTCCTGCCTCCTTATTGTTGGTGGATGTGTAGTTCAGCAGGTGCTCAAACCAAGACCGGTCCATGTAGGAGGCCACCTTCGCGATTCTGTCCTCTGTAGCCAAGGTCTCATTCTCGAGGCGCTCTCGCTTTCGCTCTTCCAGGCGGGCGATCAGTGCCAATGCTTCAGCCTCGCACAGCTGGGGACATCCTGAGTTGGTACTCAGGTGAATGACCTCTCCATTGGGGTCCTCCAAGATGCACTCCTCCTGGGACCACTTCATGGTGTAGCCGAGGATTTTTACCAGCTCGCCCAGAGGAACGATCGTCTGCTGGGATTGCCGATCAACGCCGGGAGCCGATTGTCAGAAGAGTATCAAGGGTAGTGATCTTCATCTTCAGAGCATGATTTCCTGCCAGCTGCACCTCCACCTCCTCTGCCTTCTGCCACTCATCCCAACTTCCAGCGGTTCTCAACGAATGAGTGGCTCCCGAGTCCAATAAGGCCGAGGACGATGACTGCAAGGAACATACCCGGATATCCTTGACCGCCAGGACCTTCATTGAGCTTGGAGTCTTCTCCGGGCTCTTTCCACCATCTGGTCCTCCAGTGGCGGGTTGTCCTTGCGATTGAATCACCTGCTGGGCCGCCTGCATCAAGGTCTCGAATGTCCAAGGCGTTCCCTGCACCGGCTCGTTAGGCTCAGTGGGCGCTACGGCGGCCACTGTTGGGGTTGCTTGACCCTGTCCCGCTGATCCTGCCGACCTTGTCGTAGTTGATGTGGAGGATGTGGGTGAAGGCTTGGTCTTTGCACCTGGCTTCACATTCACCTGACAGTCCTTCTGGCGGTGGCTTTCACTCCCACATTGCAGGCACTTCCGGGCACGGGTCTCCTTGTCCAAGGTGGCCATGTTGTGTGAGAATGTACATCTGCTTCCCCGGCGGCATCCCGAAGGCTTAATGAAGTAGCGACACATCTCGGTTCCACCCTTCTCCTTCTCCTTGTTCTTGGGGCTTCCGGACGTATCAAGGGCCCTGACCTTAGGACTGGAGGTTGCCGCTAGGCCGGTTGAGGTGGTACCCGATGAAGCCAGTATCGTCTCCAACTCAGCCTGCAAGTGTTTCTGGTAGTCCTGAACCTGCGACAGTGAAGGTTGTGCATCAAGGCGAAGCGAGGTCCTCAGCATTGCTGTCCTGAATGTGGCGTCGGGGGAGGCCGATATATGCTTGGTTGTAAGGTTCATCAGCCCCCTGACCATGACCGAGGCATCGGGAGGCCCATGTTGTGGCTCAGGGCCACCTGCTTTGATGGTCCCCTGGCCCTGTGCCTACTGGCTCATGGCCCCATCCCTTGCTCCCGCCCACCGCCGCTCCCCTTCCCCATCTCTCACCGCTTTCACCCAACTTGCCACCCGCTCCCCCACCCCCACGCCCCCCCCCAAACCATCGCCGGCCACAAACTCACCTGGATTTTGAAGCTTCCTCAGGACCTCCTGCCTTTCAGCACTCCCTCCAGGTTGGAACAACACAAAGAGGCGGAAGACCATCCGCGGGGAGCTCTGGGTAATCCTTTGACTTATCATCTCTCCACGAAGCTCTTCACCCATTGCAGACAACAACATAGAAGCAGTCCTGGCATTGACCCGGGTCCAACGTCCTGTGCACAAAGCTTCGGCCCCTTCCGGCGTGATCTGCAACCGCTCCAAAGGGGTGGCTGCCAACCACCGGGCATAGGTCCCGTTGACCAATTCCATGACTGCCGACCACCAAGTGCCGCTATTCTCACTCACATCAGCTAACACCGTCGTGGCCACTTCCATCCAGTCTTGCAGCTGTAGCGCCGAGGAACCTGCACCATCCGAGGCACGATACTCGGGTAGTGGGCTCAGTGCCACTGTCCCTGGCTTAACCACTTCCTGGGATGCTGTAGTCGAGGTTGTCTTCGACAGATTTTGAGCTTGAAGTTCCTGAAGTTGCTTGATTCCCTTTGCCAACATTTCCACCACAGGGCCTCCAGTAGGACTCGATGGTTCCCGGGGAATCGGGGGTGTAGGTGGCCTGGATCCTCCGCTTAACAACGACCTCAAGAAGCTCGGTGCTTGGGACCCTTGAGCATCAGTTGACCTCGGATTCCACTCACCCCGGAGATCACCTGTAAGGCCTGGTGGGACTTGATCCGGTTGGCGACTTGGTTCAGTGGGACCTAGAACTCCTTGAAGGCCTGATGGAACTTGATCGGGATGGCGACTTGGTTCTGTGGGACCTAGAACTCCTTGAAGACCTGAGGGAACTTGATCGGGATGGCGACTTGGTTCTGTGGGACCTAGAACTCCTTGAAGACCTGATGGAACTTGATCGGGATGGCGACTTGGTTCTGTGGGACCTAGAACTCCTTGAAGACCTGATGGAACTTGATCAGAAGGGCGACTTGGTTCTGTGGGACTAATTCCATACAGCCCCTTCATCGCCATCGCTTGCCCCCTTTCAGCTGCCAGCTCTTGCTCCAAACGCTCATTCCTCCGCTCAGCCTCTTGAAGTTTCTGCAACACCTGTCCAAGTTGCCGCTGAACTTCAGCCTGAATTGCCTCCTGAGGAAGGCTCGAGGAACTTGGCGTCTCCGGGGAAGTAGGTGGCCTGCTCGGGGGTCGCAAAGTAAAGGTAGGTCCTCCTGGCAAAGACCTCTGGGACCCCTGGCTTCCGCCAAGGGGACTTGGAAAAAACTCGTTCTGCGGGCCCAGCGACAGGTAGGATCCCAGCCGGGTAACCCAGCTCGGCATTTCCAATCCAGCCACCCAATGCTGCCCACCATTCTGCAGAAGTCTTGTAGACCTTGGAGTGCTGTAGCCAGTTGCGGTGACCTGCTCTCTCCTGGCGGTCGGTTCAGCGGGTCCAGCTCCGCCACAGTCATAGTTCGTTCCAAGCCTCTCGGGCCCCGCCTGACTATGCTGCGATGCGGTCTCTCGAACCACTGTACCACCAGGACCCCCTTCAGTTGGCGGAGCTCCCTCTCGTCCAGCAAAGGAAACTGTCTCCTCTGTCGCCGAAGTGGAACTCTCTTCTGCCAGCAGATTCGTCACTCCCGACCTGGCCCGGGTTGCACCGACTCCGTTCATCGTCGGGTGCTCGGTATTCGGAGCTGCCCCAGCAGCTTGCGCTTGGGCTACCATAACCTCTCGTTGCATGGGATCTTCAGGAAGGCCCACTACAGTCCCAACATCAGAATCAGCCATGGCAACGACTCGAATTGGAGAATCTTTTGCAGCAAAGCACATGACTGTCTCAGAGTCAAAAGAGGTTTGTACATATCTCTGGTGTCTGATGCTTGTAGAGCTATGCTCATACGAACTGCAAAGTCGTTGTGACGGGCCATGTGGTGCTTCACACACACATGGTGGCTCAAGGGGCTTGTTCCGCAGCCCTTCCCTGAGCAAACAAACGGCCCACGAGGAAGCGGTCGTTGAGATGTACCTTGGCGGGGCGAGGGTCTTCTTCACGGGTTTAGGGTTTCGGGTTTAGGGTTTAGGGTTTAGGGTTTAGGGTTTAGGTACAGAAAGGCTGAGAATGTCGACCCCCAAGCATTGAGAGCGGAGAGGACTTTGATGAAGACGAGCCCTTCGTCTGTTTGGAGTGTGGATTGTGGCTCGGCTCTGGTGAGGATTCAGGATATGTGGTTTCGAGTTACGGAGTGCTTCGGCCGCGTTTTAGGCTTGAGACGCTGGACATGGGAGTGCGCTGGGATGTCTCAGAGGGGCTTGTGGTCAATCTGGTGGACGAATTGGCTTCTGCCTGCCAGCCTGACGTGCTGAGCCCTAAGCAGTGTGAAGGCCTTTGTAAACCCTGAACCCTCAACCCTAGACCCTAAACCCTACCGCATGCATTAAACCCTAAACGCTAAACATCCCTAAACCCTAAACCCTAAACCCTAAACCCTAAAAGGGCTCGGGCCTCGGGGTTGGCAGAATCTCCCCCAACCACCTAAGGTGGGCCCGACCAGAGGGCGAGCCGGCCCGGGTGGACGGACATAGGCCTTTGTTCAGGGCTGGGAGGTTTGTGTTTGGGGGGGTTTTGGGGTTTCGGGGGGTTTAGGGAGGTTTGTGTTTGGAGAGGTTATGATTCTGTCGGGAGTCGGGTGGATGCCACCCCCCCCCTGTTCTCAGCACTTGGGAGGAGTGCTAAGAGTGATAGGCCTTCAAACGCGTGGGGCATCAGCCCCGACTCCAACCCTGCAAGCCCCTCCCCCTGCCCACTTGGCCCGGATCAGATGCTGTGACGATTGCGCCTTGCGCATCTACTACGAGGAGCAAGCCAAGGCAGCATCTTCGTCATAGCTCTGTTGGATCGAAGCTTCTGCTGGCATGAGAGAGTGCAGTTTTTGTAGGTTGGCTTTTTGCCGTGCCGTGTCCTTGTTCAGCAGGGCTTAATTGCTGCGAGGGCCTGAAGGAGGCCCCCTCCGAATCCCAGACCAAAACCCCCAGCAACCCTGACGTCTATGGTGAAGGCCTTGCAGAAGGCATCGGAGAAAGAGGAGGCTGAAGTGCAACTCTTTGGCAAAAGCCAGTTTGGGAAGTTTAGGGTTTGAGGGGCTGCGCTGTCCATGTTCGGGTTGAGCTTTGTAAGTCTCAGACTCTGAACCCTTAATATATACATATATACATATATGTAAAATTCTATTCTACATATATATATATATATATGTATATGTTTCCAGAATGCTTAAAGACACAGCCACCTCGAACAAACCAGCGCCCAGCTGAGGCTCGAGTGGCTGCGCCAGTGGCGCGCGCCTGGCCCTCGGGCGGTTCAAGAAAATTGGGGCGGTTGAAGCCCCAGATGTTCGGGCGCAGAGGGGGAGGGTTTAGGGTTTTAGGGTTACCTGGCAGACTTCAGAGGCCTGGATGTAAAAGGGTTTAGGGTTTAGGGTGTTAGGGTTTAGGGTCTAGGGTTTCCGCTTTCTGAGTGCTGATATTTTGGCGGCCCTTACAAATCCAGAGAACCCGAACTTTAAGCCCAAAGAACCCGAAATTCTCTTTAGCCAGAGTGGTGAAACTCAAGCCATGGACAGGGTCTACATAGGAAGCCATAAGTTAAGTAGGGTTACAAGCAGGGCGACGTTAGCTTTACTACTATCCCATTCTACTTCTTTGCCACCCTCTACTGTACTATTTTTTGGGATGTTCCCCCTCATACGAACAGTCCTTACAACAGGGGGTACTACAATGCCTATTAAGGACTGTTAGTATAAGGGGAGAACAGCCCAAAGCTATTGAATACCCTTGTATTCTGCATGCCAACAGCCCCCGGAGGTGTGCGAATGCTCCAGTGGTGTCGGAGCCCGCTCCTGAGCCTGCACCGCGGACGTTTGAGGCCGGGTTGGTCGTACAGATTAGTAGTATAGGAGTATAAGAAAGATATCGAGATGATAACTACACCAATAGCATGCGAACACAATCATGTCAGAACAGAATCATTTTTTAGATGACATACTTGCATCATATCTACTTCAAAGAATAATATTATGTTAATACATAACGGTTGATGTTAGAACAACATATATCTTATTCATGCTAAGTGGTTTTCTTTCGGCCTTTCAGACCCTGCCAGATTCTTCCGCCGTAGGTTCGGAGCGCGAAGCCTGCATGTTCAAAACCCCAGATCGCATTAGACCCAAGTCCCTCTCACTTGGTGCCCGGAGGAACCGGAAGAGTCCCTCCAAGCCACTGCAGCTTGGATGCTACAGAAATGTGCCACCCAATGACCGCACCGAGGGCCTTAGCCGACGGCCTTTGATATCCGTTCTGCTGAGCTCAGATGTTGTGCCTTGGTTCCTCTTGCTTCGTTTCCGAGGTTTGGCCACACACCGAATCCGAAGCCGACACTGGCTGCGAGGAGCGGATCGTCTGTCGTCATCTGGGGTCCATCGGCAAGGATCTGGAACCCGAGGGTGAGAGCTACGCGGCGGCGGCCTGGAGCTTCATTGCCGAGCTCCCGACCGATGCCTCGGAGGGCGAGGACGCGGACTTCCGCACCAAGTTCCGGACGCCTGAGGAGAACCCCTCGCACACAGCGCCCGAGATCCCGGCGCCCCAGGCCTCCGAGTCGGACTACCTCTCAGAGGTTTCCCGGGCCGAGCCCCTGCGCCGGAGTGCGCCGGCCTCCGAGCCCTGCTTTGCTCCAGCGCCCTCCTTGCAGAGGGCCGCCCAGGAGGAGGAGAGCGAGCCCAGCTTCCCCAGGACCCGTTCTACATATGTATACATATCTCTCTCTCTATATATATATATATATATTTGGTCACCCCCCCCCTCGACAGACCCCGGAAGCATATTTCCGGTCTGTTCAGGAAGGGGGCGGGGGAAAAGCACCACTCCAAAATTCCTCGAGTTTCCAAAAATCCAAAAAATCCAACCCAGGGTTCCGCTTTTTGGAAACTCGAGCGGGAGCCTCAAAATCCTAAAACCGAGCAAATTCCTCGAGTTTCCAAAATTCCAAAAAAATCCACCCCAAGGTTTGGATTTTTGGAAACTCGAGCGGGAGCCTCAAAATCCAAAAATCGAGCAAATTCCTCAGCCCTTTTTTTGCTTCCGGGGTCTGTCGAGGGGGGGTGAGCATATATTTCTATGTAAGGTGTGTTATACTAAATTATCTATTGTATTACATATTAATCTTGTATACTATCTGATGTATACATACACACATGTATATATATATATATATATTTATTTATTTATTTATTTATTTATTTATTTATTTATTTATTTATTTATTTACTATCTTTTTTTACATTATGACACATATGTGTATATGGATATTGATATGCTTGCTCTTGATGTCATTGTTGTATGCGACCCTTTGAACAACTGCAGCATGGGATTTGGGGCTTGGGTGGTTGCCGACCTGCCGCAGGCCAGAGTAAGGTATCTGGAAGATCTGGTACTGCAGTCACCCGAAGGTCGTAGGCAGTAGGCAGTAGGCAGTAGGCAGTAGGTAGTAGGTAGTAGGCAGTGGGTAGTAGATAGTCTCAACCATAAATCCCAAACCGAATAGGGGAGGAAGTTTTTGCATTTCTGCTGATCAAATCGCGTGATTTGCCTTGCAGTGCGACTCTTGAGTCAGCTGCGCGGGTGGCCACAAACAACCCTAAACCCTAAACCCTAAACCCTAAACCCTAAACCCTAAACCCTAAACCCTAAACCCCAAACCCTAAGCCCTCGGATGCAGGACTTCGCCTTTAGCGTCTCCCTTGCGAACGTGCTTCTGCTACGCATCGCCACTTCGGAAGCTAGACTGAACCGGAGCCCCAAGCGATCCCTCTGCCCCAACAGGCCCTAACACTAGAACTCTATCCATGTATATACTATTGTATAGCGTAATATACATATAATTATATGTACACATACGATGGAATATACTCTAGTACATATATACATATATACATATACATATATGTATATGTATATATGTATATATGTATATATGTATATATATATATATACTGACCTTCTAATGTATTTGTTATATTACATTATGTTGTACGATATTCTGAGAGGTATCAAAATCACCAACCACAAGCTCAGCACCCAGGAGGGGGCTTCCTGAACTGGATGCGCGGGCCGACTGGGAGGCCGATATCGCTTGCTGCCATCTGCTGCCTTAGTTCAACGTACTACTCTACAGGGTGAATTATACAGGGTGAATTTCACAAGGGTTTCGGGCCGTGTCGGGTTTAGAGTTTAGGGTTTAGGGTTTAGGAAAGTTCAGGTGCTCATAAAAGTGGTGCACGCAGCTGGTAAGATCATGGGCTCTGCCCGAGCCTTTCCCGAGCCTCTCCTGAGCCTCTCCTGAGCCTCTCGGGGAAGCTCGGGAGTGGCTCAGGAGCTTGGGAGAGGCTCAGGAGAGGCTTGGGAGAGGCTCGGGAGAGGCTCGGGAGAGGCTCGGGAGAGGCTCGGGAGAGGCTCGGGAGAGGGGAGAGGCTCAGGTCTCGGATTGCACGAATAGTCCAAAAAGAGAAGAATGGAATCATAGCCATAGATACGTAATAATAGCATTGCTGCTATAACAAGAAGGCAGAAATTCTAGTCATAGCGATAGAATACCAAATCGCTTTTACTGCTATAGCAATAACCCCCCCAAGATTTTGGAGTCGAGGCCCTGTGAACTCATAGACACCTTCGGAATTGTGTCTTAGTTATGATGGTGTAAACATTAAGGGATTATTCCACATGTTATGCCTACCATGGAGCCGCACCAAGACGTTGTCAAAGTGCCCTGCTGGGCGATGACACCATCAGTTGCAATGGTAACCGAATCTCAGGCCCCAAACACAAGACTCCAAGCAAGATGCGAAAGCATCTGCACCGTCGTTGCCGAGACTGAGGGGCACTGTGCAGTTTGGGTAAGCGTTTGGTGGTTTCCGACATCAGGGTGCCTCAACCCCCATTTAGTCACACAGGTAACGCGATGCCACCTGGCCAACCCTAGACTGCAAGTTGCCGTGGTTTAGGGTTTACGGTCCAGAATTTAGGGTTTCGGTTTAGGGTCCAGGGTTTAGGGTTTAGGGTTTAGGGTTTACGGTTCCAGAGGCAGCCAGAGCAGTCAACCTTGACTGGGACTGATGGTTGCAGGGCTTACTTGGATTCTGACCCCATGATAAGTGTACTTATAAACCTCCCAAGTCCCCTAAGTAGGTTTTAAGTAGACTTATAAGTGGGGTTATAAGTACCCATGAACCTCCAAGTAGCGTTTGCTGCAAGAAAGGGCTGATCGAAAGCAGTGTAGCTCTAGGGCCTCTTGGGCTCTTCAGGCCGCAAGGCACGACCCCCACCGGACCTTGATGGAACTTGTGGAAGCCCTTCCAAGAAATTCGCGTGAGGCCATCCAGGCAGAAGGAATTGACGTCACTGTGCGGGCGGCCACGATCAATGCTGTGCAGGAGGCTGGAGAGATTCACAAGGAGTGAAGTATGGAAGCTCTTTGGATTCTCTGGGTCTCCCTGCACGTAGGGTGTAGGGTTTTGGGTTGAGGGTTTAGGGTTTTGGGCACCTCAGAGAGCCCCTGGGGGATTGAAAAATGGTTTAGGGTCAGGGATTGCGGCTTGTTCAGACGGACACGTCAGGCATGGATAAAGTTCACGAGTTTGCACGCCGCTGGGGTCCTTCCTCAAGCCTGCCCTGCCTTACTTTTCGCGTGGGTCCAGTCTTATCCACAATTCTCTGGGGCCTTTTGATCTTTCGCAACAGTACCAGGTATGTGTATGCATATACATACATCTTTGTATAGCGACTTGCGAATTTACGCACTTTGCACACATGCAAATACACCGGTCGATAGATAGATCTACCGGACCATAAATTTGAGTCCCGGGCCTCCCGTGAGGTATTGCTCAGCCGAGCGAGTCTGCGACTCAGCATGCGCAGGGCGCCTCTTCCTCAGGGGATTTGCTTTGATGTCGGAGCCAGGTCAACATCATCTTAGGGTTCAGGGTTTAGGGTGTTCATTGGGGGGCATGCCTCACTTTGGCAAGATCCAAGGTTTCGGGTGTTCTTCTCAGCCTTTAATGTGACCGCCTTGGAAACAAAGGGTTGATTACAGAGAGGTAGCCCGCAGGCGACGGAGGCATGGGGCGGCAACAGATAATATCAGAGGTCACAGCTTCATTAGCTCGAGTATGTGTGTTTGAATCTTCTTGGCCAGGCAAGATGCAAGATAGCTTGTTCCGAGGAGGTCGCTCCCCGAATCCATGGACAACGCATGCCTCTCAATGCAGGTCCGGAAATTCTCCACATCTCTGCGCACTGCACCACGCTAGGCACCGTGGGATGCACCACGTGTGACTAAGACCGTCATTCCAGCAGCTGGAGCTTTGTCGTTCTTCCATGGTCCCTGACCATTCTAGCTACCTTGCCTTTGCAAGTACGTCTTAGGCGACACAGACAGGCTAGGAGCCCTTGCAACTTTCCAGCCCCTCGCTAGCTGTGAGAGACGTGAATCCACACTGTGGAGGGAATTGCTGTATGATTCGTGCATTTCGACCACAGCGAGACTGGTTAACGTCGCGATGCAGATTGTGCTGTAGGTGTCGCAGGCTTCCTCCGTGAATCCATCCATCTTTGAGCTCTTGCTGAGGGCATCGGTAGATGTGAGGGAAGTTATCCGTGCATGCATCATGTTCTTGCACCAGATGAGCCGCGACGGATGACAACTTGAAGTATGTAATTACAAGCAAAATAAAAGGCAGAACGGCTACTGGCTCTAAACATGGCTCAACGCAGCTACAGTAGGCAGCATATCCCCAAGCTGAGTCTTGATGCCCTCCGATTGCAGGCGAGTCACCGTGCATGGTGCTGGAAGGAGAAGTCTTTCGTTGAGGCTTCAGGTACAGCTTGTGAGCGTAAGAATGTAAGAATACAGTAGTGTAATAATGTAAGAATGTCCTTATATTGTCCTTAGCCCTGATGCGCTTGCCTGCCGCGGGGTGCTACATGCTTATGCTGTTCACTGGGTATGTTTAGGGCTTACGGATGTTTGCGGTTTTGGGCTTACAGCCTGAACGATACATAGTCACATGGTCCTGTTTGGTTTTACGATTTTAAGGCTACTTTCGAGAACTGACCAGATGTGTGAAAGCATAGGCGCCCTTGTGCAGGAGTTGATGGCAGCGCTGACATCGTAGGCGTGCGCGACTTCGCGAACCTTGGGTGGTGGGCCGCCTCGAAATGTGGGTTGCACTGCTTGGCTGGCATGGCTTCCTGAACATGGGTCTGGGGTTTAGGGTTTAGGGTTTAGGGTTAGTGCTGTACTTGCTAAAGCTGAACTGTGGCGAGGCTGAACGTTGGTAGGCTTCGAAATTGCCAGGGGCATGCAATTTTTGGGACAACCATGGGAAAAGCACCTAAACCCTAAACCCTAAACCCTAAACCCTAAACCCTAAACCCTAAACCCTAAACCCTAAACCCTAAACCCTAAACCCTAAACCCTAAACCCCAAATCCCAAATCCCAAACCCCAAACCCCAAACCCTAAACCCTAAACCCTAAACCCTAAACCCGAGTCCCCGTAAGGCACCTGTGCTAAGGTGGGGAGGCATAGAGCTGCTGGTGCTACTAGCCTGTGGCTCCCAGGCCGTGGTGCAGAGGCAGGAGGTTTAGGATGTACAGAGGTCTAAACCCCAAACCCTAAACCCTAAACCCTAAACCCTAAACCCTAAACCCTAAACCCTAAACCCTAAACCCTAAGTTCTAAACCTTAAACCCTAAGCCCTAAACCCTAAAAGGTTGTTTTGTTCAGCGGCCGTTTGAACGGGTTTTTGGGTTTGCCGCGGGTGGCCAAGGTGCCCCTGCATGTTGGATGTGTCTCTGTAGCAAGATGCTTCATGGATGAGCGTGCTTCGGGTTTAGGGTTTAGGGTTTAGGGTTTTGTCACACGAAGGCTGTTGAACTCAGCATGTGTTCTGCATTCCATGTTCCTTAAACCACCTGAAGAGCAATGTGAGCGTCGGCACGTGTTTCGAGCACAAGCCCTAGACACGTGCAAGTTCTGCATTGGGTCTCCAAATAGGACTCGTGGCTGGCATCCCAGCTTTGCCTCTGCATGATTGAAGTGGCTTTACGGCGTGTCAGGGTCGTGCCCTCGGAAGGGGCGTAGCTTGGCATGTAGGTGTTTCGTTTGAACTTGAATGAATCATGTGCCCGTAGTCCTTGCCTGCAGAGCGAGACCAGCAGCGGTGTGCAACAGTGCTTCACGGCAAAAAGGACCACAGAAATGAGCTGCCAACTGTTGAATTGCTACTTGCGGCAGGCTCATGAGGGGGCATGGCCTGCGGCGCGCAATTTGCTGCCGCCTGACTGACACCGAACAGGGATGAGGGCTTCAGGGCACCCAGATGCAAAGTGGGGTCAACGGGGCCAGGAGACACCGGGAAACGTGGGTATCGCGCAATAGGGTACCTAAGCTCCCTGCTTAAGGTTTCCTAGGTACCTCGCTCCTTGAACCCTCGCTGTTAACAACTCTGAGGAGGGACAAGAGTCTGGGTTCAAAAGGGGTCTTGGGTTTACCCCTTCCGACTCGGATGCTCTAAGCCAGGATTCAAAAAAGGCGCAGGGCTCATGTCGCCCTACGCTGACCGGATGTGTTGAAACATCCTCCCAGGCAACAACATTGTGCTCGACTCCGCCGCGCAAATCTTTTGCAGGAGCTCCGTCGTGGAATTTGGGGGCGTTTTCTCACAGGAGTACCAGCCCCCCTTTCTGTCGAGCAACTGCGAATTACGGCTAGTGCTTCTTGCAGGAGCCCACCCCAGCATAGGTCCCCCTTTGTACTTGAGAATCCTGTGGTTTCAGGTGAGCCGTCGGGATTATTTTTTTGGAACCCTGGGGCTCGGGGAACCTCCAGGTTTCTCAGGATTCAGCTTCAGATCAGGAGTCGGTAAGTGCGAGTTGATAGTCCCGAGACCCTAAACCCTAAACTCCTAAACCCTAAACCCTCAACCCTCAACCCTAAACCCGAAACCCTAAACCCTAAACCCTAAACCCTAACCCCAAACCCTAAACATCTAACAAGTCTCGAGCCTCAGCCTTGAAGACCTCTACGAGGCCACATGGATGGAGCCTCGCAAGCTTGCCAAGTGTCCATGACTTCAGTCAACGCAATCATGCGGTTGGCTCAGGTTTGCGGGTGTGACAAGCTTTTTGTGAATTATAGCAGCACAGGGTATATCAGGCCAATTTTCGGACCCAAAATCCAAAGCCCTAAACCCGTTTGCCCAAACTCCTATGGTGCGGTGAGGACTTTCTACAAAGCCCTGGGTGCTGGCAAGGCCAGGGGTTTATGGTTGAGGGGTTTCGGGTTTAGGGTTTAGGCTTTTTCCTCTCCAATTCGATAGTGCGAGTGAGTAAGCATTGCTCGTGTGCTGACGTTTCGGGCCTCGGCTGAAGAACAGCGGCGGAGGAGGCAGTGCTGGCAGTCATCAAGTCCGGTTTCAAAAAAGGGTTTAGGATGGCAATTGCATTGACAGCAGTTGGATGACGTGGTCGGCGCATTGCCTGGCAAGACTCTCCCAGCACCTGAAAACCTAGCATCTGCTATACGCCGCCTCAACCTTCCTTGGTCCCATTGCCCAATATCCTGTTTGCTTATTGCTTTGGAAGCCGCTCGCAGTCCTTTCCAGCCGCAGGCGGTCGCACGTAGTTACCCTAAACCCTTCGAAGACCCTCACCCCCCTCCCCAGAAATCACTGGGCGTGCCTATACTCCGCCCCTTCGTTCTAACGACGCCTCAGCCGAATCTCTTCGCACCTTTTACTCCAGCATGCTTCTGATTATTGAGGGGGACCCCGAACCCCTAAACCCTAAACCCTAAACCCTAAACCCTTAACCCTTAACCCTTAACCCTTAACCCTTAACCCTTAACCCTTAACCCTTAACCCTTAACCCTTAACCCTAAACTGAAGAAATGCTGAACAGCCGCAGCCTTGAGGAATTGCCCGCCAGCTTCGAGGCCGCCAAGGCAGTTCCTTGGGAGGGATTTGGGTTTAGGGTTTAGGGTTTAGGGTTTAGGGTCTAGGGTTTAGGGTTTAGGGTTTAGGGTTTCAGTGGCAACGTTGGGGGCATCGCATTTTGGTTCAAGTTTCGGGCTGGCAGTGCCTCGTCCAACGCTGATGTGCCAGGCATGTGACCGTGATACCGAGGACCGAGTGTAGCATCTAGGGTTTGGGTTTCGGATTTCGGGTTTCAAAAGGGTTTAGGGTTGAGGGTTGAGGGTTGAGTGTTTAGGGTTTAGGGTTTAGGGTTAGATGCAAACATGCTAAGGCGCTTTAGGGTAGGTTTTACTATCCCGAGGCCGTAGATCCCACCTTCTCAGCAAAGCCTGGACGTCCGCAGGCCTCCATCCGGAACTGCTCCAAGTCAGCCGGAGAGGCTTGTCGGGCACGCGTGCTGAGGCTCTAAGTACATCAGGGTTTAGG